GTCCAGAGTATAATCGCAGCCTTTGCGGTTAGAAAATTGCACTTGATCATGTCGCGATATTATCGCAAATGCGATATATCGTTCAGCCCTAATTTTAAGCCATGCTAGGATATAATGTGGCCATACAGGGGAACAGCAAGTGACAAAGGTTTGTTTCCAGTGAGAGCTTGTTTCTATCTAGATAGCAACACGCACATGGTGAAGATGACTTCTTTGATTTCTTTGGTGCGTATAACACATTTCAGCCACTGCTACTTAGAGAAGGCTAAAGGGAATGCGAGTAAACAGTATGTAAAACTGGGCAGTGCTCGGTGTCAAAATGATGACATGGTACAGGAGCTCCACAGGGAACTGAGCCATCTCCACTCCTGTTCACCTTGCAGACCTTACTTACCACAAAACTAATAATTCTGCAGTGGTCAGATGCATCAATGATGGGCAGAATGAGTACAGAGCACTAATGGATGATTTGGTGGAGTTGTCAGAGAGGAATCAGCTGTTTCTGAATGTGAATAGGACCACAGAGATGACAGACTGACAGAAGAAAATGGGTGGCTATACCACCTCTGTCTATCCTGGGACAGAATGCTAATGTGGAGGAGGAGGACAAGTACCTGGTCATCCACACTGACAACAGGCTGAACTGGAAGACTAAGGTTGAGGCTGTATACAAGAAGATACACTGTGACACCAAATAAGTGGATAAACTGATCAGGAAGGCTGGCTCTGTGACTGGCTGCCAACTGGACACATTTGAACGTGTGTTACAGAGGGTGGTTACTGAGGCTCAGATTATGCTTCAGTGGGAAATCTGCATTGTAGCTTACAACATAACCAGAAATCCCCTTTAACCCTATGCCATAACCTTCCACATAACCTGACGTGCACCTCCTGAGGAATCTGCCTGCCAGGTCAAAGCAGCCCGCCACAACTGACTGGCCTGGAAGGTTACGACGTAGGGCTAAGAGGGGTTTCCACACTGCCCATCAACATCAAGCTTTATAAACTGACCAAGAACATGGAGAAAGGTTGTATGTTACTTACGATAATGCAGCCTTCTATCCGCATGTTCACCTGTTCATACAACCAAACCTGGATCCGTGAGCGCTGGGAATGAGAGAGAGAATAAACTGAATACAGTTTTATCTTCAAAATTACCAGAAAACAAAACTAATCAGAAGGATGCACGAAAAAGTTAAAAGCTACTTACATTTTGCAGGTACCTGAAAATGAGATTCTGACAACCACAGTCAAGGACATACACACAGACTCAAGTTCAACATGTTTATAGTTAAAATGTGCACATATGTTGTTAATGGTTATATTTGCATTTAGTCCAAGTTATTGGAAATGTGATTCAGAGTCAGAGTTTCGGTCAGGGGTTCTTCCTGGCTTAAAATTGGCTTTTCGGCTTCATATCTTGAGGGCAAACTTTATTTTCCCCTGATCCTTTTGTAAATAAAAATCTGTTTAACAAATAATTAAAATATAGTTACATTTATTTTTGTCATTATTTTAGGTTTAGGTAATTCTTACATCATATTAGCAGTAATATCAGTTGCTGGCATTCCCATAAGAGACCATGTAAACGTGGATCGATAGCAAATCAAAGAAAACACTACCAAGTTTCACTAACAATTAACTAATTATATTTTTAAAATATTTGAGAAGATGAAAGTAATTCCAGTTTTATAGCTATTAACTGTCAAAACACTTTCGTTAGGTAAGTATTCCGTAACTTCCTCACTCTCCCACATCATATTATATTTTGGTGTTAATAACTATCGATTGGTGGGCCTAAAACCCTCCATATGGTATCATATTGAGTAGTTTGAAGGCAGAAATTAGCCTCTTTTGCGTTTAGCTATAACACGGAACCACAGAGCCGGTGTTTTCCCGGGATTAACGCGGCTAAGTCTATACACTGGCTTTCTGACTGCATTTCAATAAAACACATTTTTTTTCTGCAAACATATTTCATACCCGCGCGACTTCTCTGGGTGAAACTGGTCTTCAAAAAAGCTTACATGCCTTGTAAAACTCCTCTCCTCACATGAGTGACTACAAATGTTTACGAATGACTAAATGTTAGCCTAGCTGCTAAGCTATTGTAGCAACCAATTCAACCGCGCAGTGTCGTCCTGCAATACAAAAGGATACAATGGGCTGCACCATAACCTTCTGGACCTTCTGTCCTTGTCCTCTGTATGCCATTCCTCCAACTAATTACCAGCTGTAGGTATATGCTGAAAAAAATTGCACCTTTTGTTAAAAGAGTGCACTACAACGAAACTCTCACGTTGTGAGACGTCTTCAATGGCGGGTTTCCTTTCGCGTGCTCTGCCAGCACGGAGGTCTTGTGATGTGAAAGAGCGCCCCTGTGGGTGGGAGGTCACTATAAAAACACTAGAACAAATCAACGTTTATAACCTCGCGAGAACATACCTGTGCAAGTTTGCGGGCAGCGTAAAACGCGCGGTCTTTAGCATAAAAACAAACTAAAAAGCCATGACAACATCCATCATCGTCTGTATGTGACAAAAGTTAACATTCTCCAGCTCTAGGTGTAGTGCCATTTCCTGTTTCCTATGATAGAGCTATAGTATGTAACCAGAAATGTCAACTTTAAAAGAACTTAACTATGTCAGTGGGCCTCAAGTTTATTCCATTATTTTGTCAGTAAAAACCAGATCGGCAGAACTACATCTGTGCAGGAACAGATTATACAAAAAAACAAAACAAACAAACAGTCATCATGATGACTTTTAATTTCAGGAATATGTACATGTTATTTAGGATCAAAACAAATCTGCAGTATCATTTTTTTTAGTTTAGTCCATATCAGCTGTACTTCATTTTATTGAACCCCATTCATTATTAAGTAGCAAATGTTAAAAATTCTCCTGACCACAAGGCTAATCATGACTCTTCGGATTTTACCTGCTGTGTTCTTGTGTTTCTGTTTTTATCATTTTAAAATCTTTTGGTTGTAATTTTTTTGCTGTAATGTTATGAATGAATGAGCGTAACAAAGCTATGTTAGCTGAATCATTTCAGGATAGAACAGTCAGGACTTGAGTGCGTTTTTTCTTTTTATTTTAGCCATCTAATTTTTAAACAAGAGCCATAAAGTGTCTATCTGCAGGGACACAATGGTTAAGATAGAACATCAGACGCCGTCTTCTTGGATGTGTCTCAGTCTACAGTTTGATTGTTCCCTGCAGAATAGTGATGGCCTGTCCAGCTATGTTGATTCTTCCATCATCCCTCAGTTCAAGTTCCAGCTCGCCACCACGACTGGAGCACTGGTAAGCTGCACAGACACAATAAGCAGGTTAATTATGGATAAAAGTGGAACACAACATCTGTTATCACTGATAACAGACGTTGTTATCAGTTATCATTTATCTGATAACTTATCAGATAAATGACACATTAGTAAAAGGCGGAGAAGGTTCAAATACGTACCCAGCATTTTCTTCTTTCCTAGTTTTTCAGACCAGTAGCTACCTAGGATTGTGTGGTTAGAGCCTGCCAGAACAAAGAATGCATAGCAGGAATAGCTTAACACTTTCTCTCAGTAATAAGACACCTGTAAATGCATCCTCTTTAATCACTTTAGTCCAGCTGCTTATATGTAAACGTTTTTAGACACACAAACATGGTCAGAATTATGTTATTTGAGAAATAATGTCTATAGATTACATACTAGTAAAGAGCAACCATCTTACCAGTGACAGGATCCTCAGGGACGCCAAACCATGGAGAAAAGTCTCTCGAGTAGAAGTCATATCGTGGCTGGCAGTCAGGTGATCCTGTTTCCACATGTTAGCAGTGTTTGATATGTAATGTTTGTTGGCAGAAACATTCAGTGAATGTTGTTATACAAATTAAAATGGGCAACAAACGAGTCCACAGGATGGTGACGGCAAAGGAGAAATCGGCGCACCATTTGTCCTGTGATCAAACATTTCCCCAGAGCTCAACCCAAGTGAAGGCCTATATCAGGGGTCCCCAATCCCAGTCCACGAGGGCCGGTGTCCCTGCAGGTTTTAGATCTCACCCTGGGTCAACACACCTGAATCACATGATTAGGGATGGGTACCGGTGTGGTTCTGACATAAACAGTAGTAACCAGACCGAAAAGCAGCGCACATTTCGGTGCTTTATTTCGGTGCTTTTTTTTCCTGAGCTGTGATACACTTCTAGCCAATCATTTTACGTTTCCGAGGATAGTAGGCGGGGCCAGGTACGTACGTTCAGTTAGAGCAGAGCTACAGATTAAAATGTCCAAGGCGAAGCGGTCAAAAGTCTGGCTGTACTTCACAGCAAAATATGCAAACTCAGCAGCAACAAGTGCTTTAAGGTGATACTGTGATACTGTCAAAGGAGGTAACACCAAGAATCCGATTAAACAGCTGGCGACGCATAGCGTTTTTTTTTTAAAGCCGAGAAATGCGCCGTATTTGATAGCTTGCTGCGAGACCTCACACCGTGCACGTCGGGTGGGTTGCCAGTTATCGGACCCGGAGCAACATAGAGTCCTGGCCCCTAGCCCTGCCAATGTAGGAGAAATGATGAGGATGATGATGCAGCAGCAGCCGTTCTTCTCTGCTGAGTCGCTTAATGTTGTTCGTGTGTAATTTACGTTGAGTAGGCTAACCACGTTATTACATTAATGCATGTAAGGTGAACTAGCAAACATCATCATAGCTACATGCGGCTGTCTTCTTGTTTGATGGCAGATATTCCCTTCACCCTGGCCAAAAAGGCTAAAATGACCAAAGAAAAAGTGGAAAACAGCTGAACATGAGAGGTTTTTGGACAAAGTTTGTGTTTTTTCCATTGTTTAAGCACTGCTTCCAACCAAGAGTGATACCATATATGCCACATAGCTGCAGAAAAGGCTAACATTGTTATCTTTTTACAAAAAAAACCAGCTGAACATGAGAGGTATTTGGACAAAGTTTGTGTTCTCCATTCTTTAAGCACCGGTTCGAGCACCGTTTAAGCACCGGCACCGTTTCAAAAGTACCGATTTGGCACCGGTATCGGATAAAACCTAAACGATACCCATCCCTACACATGATTAGTTCATTACCAGGCCTCTGGAGAACTTCAAGACATGTTGAGGAGGTCAGTTAACCTTTAAATCAGCTGTGTTGGATCAAGGACACATCTAAACCCTGCAGGGACACCGGCCTCGTGGACTGGGATTGGGGACCCCTGGCCTATATTATGAGTGGAATCATAGACTGTGCTCTTCATCACCATCATCATTAAAACACCAAATGAGGGAATGTTTTTGGCAGAGTGCTGTTCATCCCTCTAACAGAGGTGCATTGAAGCTTTTCTGATGGTACATGGTGGGACCACACCTCGCTTAAACACTTCATGTTGGGTTTCCTCTGGTTTATTCTTTACTGTTACGTCTTCAATTTAATGGAATTACTACATGTGGTCCGATCCAGCAAGTCTACAACTCTACGAAACGCACAGCTCCGATTACCTTTCATAGTGATGATGACGGCGCAGAATCTTCCACTTCTCTCAGTATTCTCAAGAGCCACAGTGTCAACTTTCAGATCGGTAAGCGCGGAGCTGGAGATAATACACAAAAAGCACATATACATTTACTAAAACGTGATGAGTGGGTGTAGAAGGCCAGTTGCTTGATTATTTGTTTGGGCTTTAAACATATGAATAAGCCCCACTAGCCGGGCACCTGAGAAATATAATTGATTGTTGCTGAACAAATGTTTAAGATCTCATGAACAGTACGACCACTATTGAGATTCCTTTGAATTTGGCAACAAGCAAAGTGTTTTTTAACCAACATGTCACAGCTGTCAGCCAGTCGAATCAGCAGCTTCTTGGTGTTGTAGCAAAATAAAACTTCCTGAACCGGGAGGTTTCCGACTGCCGCCTGTGTCACACATGTAAAGGCAGAGACTTAGCTGAACACACACACAGGAATGTAGTTACACTTTCTCAAACTGTTCAGAAAAATGTGATTTCTGACCTTGATGGTGTCTTTGAAGTCGTTGGGATCCTGAAATAAAGGGAGTTCAGAAAGAAAGCCATTTTATACACTGTTAATAAAACACAAGAACTCGTTTTTTTACATTACAGGATCTGATTAAATTGTTCATGTAACTAAACAGGAAAAGTTTATTTTACCACTCTGGTGGGGGGATTCAGAGGAAAGTCCATGATGTACCCTTCCTCCTTCTGGGTGACGGAAAGATCTCCACTTTTGGTCTCAAACACCAGGGTGGGATTTACATTTTCTGAAGGAAAAAATCCATTATATGGTTACATGCTGGCACCTCTTTGCTCCTTCTTGCAGTCAGCTGCATTGTGCATTACAGGCATCTTTTAAAATAGCTCCAGCGGCCTTTTCTAGTGCACCATGATGTCACTTTTTGGTTTTTTGAAAAACCTTTTTATGTGTAAATGTTGCATCTTACTGATGTGTTGGAATAGCACTGCTGCAGAGGCCAGAGTGGCATGACCGCACAGGTCTACTTCAGTAGTTGGTGTAAACCATCGAAGGCGGAATCTTGATCCTGTTAATCACACATTTAAGACTTTTTTCAGTTTTGTTTTGGTATTAGTTTCAAATACACAGAGTTAAGCAGTGTAGATAATAATGTTAGTGATTGGCTTACATCCACAAAGGTCTTCAAGGTCCAATTAATGATTTATTGGTTAAAGATTGACAAAAAGCCTTATAATTTAGAAACCATCATTGGCTTCCCGTCCACACTGAGACGGCGTTTTCCCCGAAGGAAAACGCAGCGTTCTCAAAACGCTCTCGAAAACGCATATATTTGAAGACGGTGCTATGGCATGGCAGTGTGGACTGAAAACGCAGACTTTCGAAAACGATGGCACATGTTAGTCATATGATGCAGTCATGTGACCAATTAAACAAAGATCGAGGAGGGCATTACACAGCAGTTGTTTTGTTTGCTCTCAATTTTGACAGCCCTATTAAAGATTAATATCAGTTTCTACATTCTTTAATTCTCACTCGCTTTTGCAACGTTGTACTTTTGTGTTACTCGCAGCAACAACTCCACCTCATTGTTAGTCCATTTAAAAAAAACTTGGTGTTTTTCCTCAACATTTTGCCGCAACGTTTCAAAGAGCCGGAAAGTAAATAAACGGCAGATAGAAATGAGGTAGGTCGAATCTTCTTGCGTTTTACGCATGCACAGTACTGGAACGTAAGCGTTTTCGGCCGTTTCAATGTGGACGCACAACTCTGTGAAAACGAATTAAGACGCTAGTGTGGATGCAGAGCGTTTTCAGAGGAAAATGCCGTTTTCAAATCTATCCGGGCTAGTGTGGACGTAGCCTTAGAGAAGCTGCTCATAGCTGGAAGTCATTAAATTGTGGGAGATGAGGAAAAAATGTGGGAGATGGCTCTACAACATCTGTGTGTGAGCAGAGAACTGCAAATGCCAGATGATATTTTTGGCAAATTACAAGAAGAATACTGAACTGTTACTGTCATGGTTTGGGTTCACTTTTTACTTATTTAATTTAAATATCAGGCACTCTTTAAAAAGTCATACATGCTTTGATCTTATTACATATGGACTATTGTAATTCCCTCTAATATGGGCGCAACCAGTTTTTTTCTCCTTTCTCAGCAAATATAATTCAGAGTATTCTTCAAAAGTCACATTTTTTAATTTTCTGAAGTTAAACTTATTGTATCTGTTCCTGCTTCTTCTTTGTCTTTGTGTTA